CAGCAGTAGCTTCATCATGATCAGGATAGTCACTAAAGTCACACAACCACGAAATAGTTTCTAAAAAACAAAATGTTGTAGAAATATCTACCTGTTTATTTTTCAAAATTAATACAGTAACCCATAAAGTAACCATGTACAGTATACGCTTACACAGGCTTCTCCATAAGTGCTAGCGGCTGGTAACCTGCAATCAGGATTTTTTTCTCTTGTAAGCAAGGGAGTGGAGAAAAAAGTGACAATGGAAATGGAGTGACAGGCCCGGCTGCTGATTTTTGAGACACGTAATTCACATGAAACAGTGCATACACTGTAAGTTGTGAGGGAAAAGATGCTTTTGTACTTAGTTCACCTGGCTGTCTACTTCAAGTTCATGGAATAAAATGCAAAATGGGAGGGTACCTTAAAAACAAGAGAATGCATATGTCATGTATGAACTGATTATTATTAACTGCACAAAATCTTCTCATAGGAAAGTTTTTTTCCTGAGTGGAAAAATTTCACAAGTCACATGATATCAGAACTACAAAGCACATCTTTTCAACAATATATTACAAGATAACTGAGAACAATAAAGAAACATACAGAAAAATTCTCACTCATTTTCAGAAGTCTCTTGGCAATACAAAGGATCAAGTATTAACTCTAGCCTCTCCTCTCCTCCATCATCTTCTTCACTGCCTACTTCACTACATGCATCACTCTCAGCAACATCACTGTCATCCTGCAGATCTAGTAGGATCTTTGACAACCTGAAATGAACAATAAATACCCTAGTGAAATAGATTTCACAATAAACACAAAACATGCACATCTAAGGAAAAACACAGTCCACAAGTGGTACATGTACATATAATTCTAACCTCTGGGAGATTTATAATATTCATTTATTAACACATATTAAAACAGAAATGCCCAATTCCACAAAGCTTGTGTAAATGGAGCTCTGATTAAAAAGAAAAACAACTCACAACACAATAGAAATAAAAATAGCACAATAGTATATCAAAAGTATGAGACGCTCAATGGCAAGGATCTAAAGTGCCTTTTTTGGTCAGACTAAACTATTAATACCATGCTTGTTCCTCACGTCCAGGGGAAGCATGTTCCAGATCTTATAAAGCTCTGCTGAACATGAAGGAGCCCTGGTACTTAGTTGTCCTGGTTAGCGACAAGTGCAGCAAATCATAGTTGAGGTAGATGAAGACATTCTACTGGGCTTAAAAATTTGTTTTAACTGATCCTTAACTAACCACAAAAAGACATTCAAAACAGTTTATTTAACAATTATTCCTCGAGCCTGAATGGCCTCTGAGTCAATAGCCCTCGCTATCGACTCAGAGGCCATGAGGGTGGGAGGGATAATAATTGTTTTAGTAAAATCCAACTAGTTGGTCAAAAATATCGAGACAAAACGACTTTAGCTGGCAAAATGCGATTCAGCCGCCACTGTTTTGGTTTTCAAAACCGGCGCTTTTTGCTCCTAGTAGGCTATAACATATAGCCTAGTAGTAGCTCAAGCAATCAGAATGCACCATTGGTAATAGACCACTAGTTGGATTTTACTAAAATATTATAGCCTGAAATGCTTCTTGAATAAATTAATGTAAGACTCGAGCTCACATGTCATTAAATTCTTGATTATCTTCAATGTCATCATGATATTGATGTTGATTTCTGATAGCAATAAAAAAATTTATGAAGAGAAACTTTTGTGAGTCGGACTAATAATATCAACGAGGACAGGTATTTTGGGTCGGGGGGGCAGTGTCAATTGTCTTCATTTGTATGTTCATTTATATGTTACTCCAGGTGAAGTCAGTCGATAGAAGTCAGTAACAATCAATATTATTGCCCAGATACCACGATTGAAGGTTTCAGATGTCTTGCAAGGCTTTCTAGCCTTTCTTTTTAGTGCTAAATCACCTTAAATAACATTAAGATTAGGAAAATGTTTAACTAAAGTTAGAATTCATTGCTTTTATACTTTAATTGAATTTACCATTTTTTTACAAATTATGCGATTTTCTCCAAATTGTGCGATCAGATGCGATTTGAGGTCAATTGTGCAAAATCGCACCATCGCATAATATCAGATGGCCTTTATGGATCACAATATTATTAAAATACCACATTCCATCATGTAGCAGGGGAAAGGTCCCAAATCAAAACAATAATAACATTAACATTTTACTTGGTCCAACTAACATGTCTGACCACTTTACTGAGCTGAGTAGTAGCATTACACATTATGTATGATAAAATTGTCTGGAAAAGGTTATATTCAGACCCCACAATCTCATTTATTATCTAAATAACATTCAATTGACAAGGCAGCCCAAAACAACTCTACTGGTAGCATGTGCTTTACTTGCAGCACTCCATTTTCCAATGGAAACTGCTGGTATAAACATAAATTGATACACATCATTATCAGTATGAAATTTTGGGGCTGACATATCACCAACATCAAAGAGCGAAGAGAGGCGGCTGCATTTGCATACTTTATAGGTAACGACAATAACCCTTTGTCATTTATAGGCATCTTGCTGATGAAAAGCACACTGTCTCCAGATATTCCCTTCAGCAACGATCATTCCTGGTCTGTAACCTCACAACTAGTCTGCCTCCCCACCGCTTGGGCAATGCAAATGCACCATGGAACAAGAGAAAATTCAAAGAAGGCACTTGATAGATGCATGTGCTAAAATAAACATAAAGACATACCTTTTCTTGCTGAAATTTCAGAATCACCTCTTCTGCAACTTCTCTTCCTCTAAGGAACTTACACACCTGTATAATGGTAAACTTTATTAATTTCCTCTGTTAAGTTGATTCAAAACAGCGGTAGTTTCTCAGTGGAACTTGTTCTTTCCGGTGCCAAATGAGCTTGATCTCTTGAAATAAATCTTGCAAAACCTTTTTGATCTCACCAAAAAATTAAAATTAACTCTTGGACACCTCGAGAGAGCTAGGTGCAATATTGAAAGTATATTGTTTACGGGATATTATCTAAAAAAAATTATCTGATATATAAGCTTTTTCAAATGTGCTGTTTAATTAAAAAATTCTTTTGTTACTTAAGGTTTTGAGATGCAATTGAGTCTGAGGCTTTTCATTCCTGCAATCCAGGGAAAATATCATCGGCAAATCAGTCTTCGTTGGTAAAAATTCCACACAGCACCATTTTTTGTGCACATATTTGTGTAAAATACAGTGAGATTATTGTATGCATAATAAATGTATGGGGCTTAAGTTCCTTGTATTGTTTATATGAAGAGGCAAGCTAAGTTATAATTATTAAAAAGACGGATTCCGTAGATAAATTACCCACCTCCTCCATCGTATACACATCCGTCACCGATTCCACCATCTTGTTTGATGAATTACGAGATGACCATGTGTCACTATATTGGTCAGCGGTGACCTGTCCTGGTCGTGCCAAAAAAAACGCGTGCCGAAAAAAAAGAGTCGTGCCGATAAAAAAGAGTCGTGCCGAAACAAAAAGTCGTGCCGAAAAAAAAAAGAGTCGTGCCGAAAAAAAAAGTCGTGCCGAAAAAAAAAAAGAGTCGTGCCAAAAAAAAAACAGTCGTGCCGAAAAAGAAAAGAGTCGTACCAGAGACAACTGATGTCGTGAAAAAGAAACTTGATGAGAAAAATTAGGTGGCACTGACTGGGCTCCGTACAAACCTGTATTGAGCAGATACCGGATACCAGAAGCACTTGCCACCAAGCCGAAAATTCCGAAAAGTTTGGATGGAAGGTTAATGTTAAGGTTATTTTCTCGGAAATTCCAACCAAACATTCAGAACATTTAAGACTTCGTTTTGAGGTAGTCCAATCATTCCGGTTGGTATGGACAAAACAAACTGTCGCTTACCATTTACCCTTCTCTGCGTTCAAATCTTGCGCTTTTTATATTCGCGCCTTTTTTTATAACATTCAAACCGTACGTTTCTCTGATGCGCTAAAAAAGGTGGCTTACATGCCACTGTCAGGTGATAGGTACCCTAGGGAGCGTACTGCTCAATACTGGCTTCTGTCTGTGTTCCTATAAGAGGACTTACGTACTACAAGCAAGCGCCCCCGAGTAACAACCCCTGAGTAGTGTCTGTGTTACCCTTTTTCACCTTAAACAAGTAACTAACTTAAAGGTGTCAAACATAAAAAGGCGTTTGGCTTATTTTCAGTCCTTCATAGAGAGATGTCTACCTCACAGAAGAAGCATTTTAAGAGGTGTTCATGTTAGAAAGGTGACGACAAGCTGGGTCCAGTTTTAACACGATTTCACTACTTCTTAGTGGTGTTAATTGTTGCAGTGGAGGATCCAGGGGAGGGGCCAGGGGGGCCCCGCTCCCCTTATTTTTCCACCAAAATGAGACCCGGCCACCCCCCCTTATCTCATGCTCTGGATGACCGGGCCCCCTTATCTCAAGGTCTGGATCCCGCACTGGTTTGTTCCCTTAGAACACAGTCTCAGTAGTCTGGGGCTTGGGGCCAACCATCTCATCCGGGAGCTTTCCTGGAAGAAATGGGCGTTTGGACTGATTTAATAGTGTAAGACGAGGTCCATACCTGGTGACCTGGGACCGTTTAGTAGACAAGCATATCGTTCATTAACATTTTTCTTTATGTAAAAGGGATTTTTTTCGTGCAAGAAAGTAGCATTCCAAAGCACTGCGTGAGTTCGTACTGTTTATTTACAAACGCGTTTTTTATCTTTGAATTAATGTTCGTCTAACATTTTTTTTCTGTTATCCTAACACCGCCTATGGTGGTTGCTTTAACTCTTTCACTCACAGAAAAGTCTAAAGTCTAAAATGGAGAGAAATTCCAAATTTCATTCTATAAAATTCGCAGAAACAAATAGCACAACGTACGAGCACTGCCAAAGATGTTTCATTTGAATGGTAACACCAACGGATTTCATCCGCAGATTCAAAAGTTAGAACAACCTTATAGATCATTCGTTCTGAAGTGAAAGAGTTATTTAAAAAAAAGCCTGTACTTTGCCTTAAGATATATGTTATACCTACTACTATGACTCTTAATTGGTAAAAAGCAATTCCAAAAACGATTCATTCTTGTATAAAAATAGTTTGAAAAATAAATGACAGAATTAAAAATTGATTTTGCAATCCATTTGCAGTCCCTTTGACTTTGTATTGAAGCAAGATGTTTTTGCATAAAAGTGATATATCTCATATCTATCCATTTAGTAATGATTCCTCTAAGGCTAGAATAATTAACTATTTTTGTATAACTGTCGGAACGTAAAATTTTAGCGCTGAGATTACTTTGCAATTTGTATCCTCACTATATTGGGCAAACCTATGCCTGAATTTAAGAGGGTAGTGAAAGTAAATTAAATAAAATGGGAATATAGCAAAAAACTTTACTCTCTTTTTTTGTATCTGGATCTCAGGCTGTCTCCACACTAATTCAGTAGTGGACCTAGAAAATCTTCGTTTTTGTTAACAAGATGCATCAATAGCTCCTTTCCCATGCAGCCCGGGCTAAAAGCGAAACTCTCGTTAATATACTTATAAGTTACTACATCAAAAAATAAAATACAGTAGTCTAATTCTTAACGGCAACGGCAACGAGAAAGGTCTAATTGTGCAGCACATTTTTTTACATTTCTCTCCCTTTGTTGTTGCACAACTCAAAATGAAACCGTAGTTTAAAACACGTTTATGGAAGAGATGTCGCATGTTCTTGCCTGTCTTCCTGTTTCATTTTTGGGCACTATCGCTCATCTTCACCTTGCAGGTCGCTAGCACTTCTCATTTTCTTACCACCGCTATAAAAATCTCATACTTTTCTTACAACGTCAATCTATGTCTATCGTCGACGTCAATGAAGACATTAAAATTTAGTCGACCAAAAGACTCGGCTTTATGTTCGTTTTTTTTTCTATTCCAAAGTGTAGGTGGCGGTCACTTGACTACCAAAATATTTTGTATCTATACGTTTCCATTTCTACCGTAATAAAGTCTCTGTTGTGACTTTAACCACTGATCTAATAGCCCTATGTCGGTAAGTGTGACATTTTATATCTTCTCACACGTAGGGGAAAAGGATCGGTCTTACAACCTGAACCAGCTTGAAGGTCATGCAAAATTAGTCAGCGGTTGCCCGATTTTGACAGTTGTCAATTAATCTTCATATTTGTAGCATATATAAATGGCAGGGTATTGTCATTTTATGTAGTAGTGAAAATGAGCTTTGACATGGGCTTACATGTGGTTGTGTACAGGAATAGCAATAAGGCACCCCCGGAATTCCGCTATTACCTTACCAGGCGCAGCGTGTAACAAGCTCTCCGTTATGACAAAGGAGGTTACGTATCACGAGAAGAAGGAAAGAGCAGAAGCTGGGACCCAGTTCCCGCTCCCCATACCTAGCTAAACTTTTGTTCTGTCAAGGGTTCAACCAAAACAGTTGGAAAAGCTTCTTGAGAAAGATGGCTACACCAAGTTTCTGATACTCCTCTGCTTCTCGAAGTTCACGTAAGTCCTTGTGAATTAAAGCTAGGTTAATGTAGCTTGTTGCAACAGAAACATGTTCAGCACCAAGCTTCTTGAGTTGGATGGCTAAACAACGTTGCTGATACTTCTTTGCTTGTTCAAGGTCACCTAGGTCACCTAGGGCCTTGTGAATGAAAGCTAGGTTATTATAGCTTGTTGCAACAGAAACATGTTCAGCACCAAGCTTCTTGAGTTCGATTTCTAAACCACGTTGCTGATACTTCTTTGCTTGTTCAAACTTACCTAAGTCATAGTGAATTGAAGCTAGGTTAGCGTAGCTTGTTGCAACAGAAACATGTTCAGCACCAAGCTTATTGAGTTGGATGGCTAAACCAAGTTGCTGATACTCCTTTGCTTTTTGAAGCTTCTTTAAGTCCTTGTAAATTAAAGCTAGGTTACTGTAGCTTGTTGCAACAGAAAGATTTTCAGCACCAAGCGTCTTGAGAAAGATGGCTAAACCACGTTCCTGATACTCCTTTGCTTGGTCAAGGCGACCTGAGTGCTTGTGAATTGAAGCTAGCTGACCGTAGCTTCTTGCAACAGCAACATGTTCAGCACCAAGCTTCTTGACAAAGATGTCTAAACCACGTTTCTGATACTCCTCTGCTTTTCGAAGTTCACGTAAGTCCTTGTGAATTAAAGCTAGGTTACTGCAGCTTATTGCAACAGAAACATGTTCAGCACCAAGCTTCTTGTGTTCGATTTCTAAACCGCGTTGCTGATACTCCTTTGCTTGTTTAAGGTCACCTAAGTCCTGGTGAATTAAAGCTAAGTCATTGTACCCAGATGCAACATCGACATTTTGGTCACCCAATAGCCTGATGCGAATATCGAGAGAATTTTTGAAGTATGTTTTTGCCACGTTAAATTCACAGTGCATTTTACATATATTGCCAAGATTCGACAATGTTTCAGAAATGTCCTGAACATGGACTTGAGACATCTCTTCTGTCGTAATAACTGTATCAATTGGTACAATAAGGGCGCTTACGTGCGGAATGATGTGCATAGTGTCCAATGTTCTATTTTCGTGTGGAATTGTGACTATAAATTTGTTAAACGATGTAACAGCTTCACTTACAACCTTGATCGTTTGATTCTTTGTACAGTCACTCATTACCCACTTCATTGCGTCGTGCACAACCTGATGTACACGAATGTAGTAGCAACTATCTTCGTCTTCCTCTAAAAGAAGCAGTGAACATCTTCTGAATCTCCTGCGAATGTGTTCCTTGTCCTCTTTGTCATCGTGTTCGAGAACGTTTAAAAGGTAACTAACCGCTATGTCAACGTTTAATGGTTGTGGTGCGCACAGGGAAAGAAATCTGAATAGGTGTTCAAAAAACTTGTCGGATTTGACTTGTGCTTCGACAGCTAACCTTATTGCTGTAGTCATCGTATTTGGATAAATTGGGTTGGTGTCAGCAAGGGTATCCTCGGTCGTTTCTAGTTTTCCTTCTTGTAAAATCTTTAGGTATTCGTTCCAGCCAAAGTGCTTCGATGCTTTGTCCTGTCGAATGTCTTTGACAAACACAGCCGCGCCTGCTAAAGCAAGTGGCTGATAGTCCAGTTTCCGGGCAACGTTTTTTGCTAGCTCGTTGTCGAAGACCCCAGAAAGCTTGGCCAATAAGGAAGTGGCATCGTAAGGATTCATTCCTTGGCTTACTGAAATGTGATTGATGAAAGAGCTTTTCAACGGGATGGACTTTGTATCCTGGGTTGTAATTAACAACTGACCTCTTGCCCACGTCTCGGTCCCAGACTGTGGTAGGTGATCATGTACAAAATTCAGTTTAGTCACATTGTCCACCACCAGCAGCCACGACGTGTAACACCCAATTTTTGCAGCAATAAGCATCTTGAGATTGGCAATCTTCTCCTCAATGTTCCAATCCTTAGAGCTCAAGGTTTGCATCACTGAAAAGTCTGGGCACTTTAACTGACGAGCAAAATTGGCATATGACTCCAAAAGTGAATCTTGACTGGCAGCGTTTATTGTCATTACAAAGGACAAAGTGCCCGGTATTTCTTTTACTTCATCAAGGAATCTTTCAGCGACGAGGCCAGCTAGTTGTGATTTGCCACTTCCTGGATTCCCTGAGATGTACAGATAACTCAATCTGTTCTCGTTGGCCTCTTTTAGTTCCCTTAGCTGATGGGCTATTTGTGCTACTTCCCTTTCACGGCTTTCAATTTCGTGTGGAGGTTTAGGAGGGAGAATACAGAACGAGGGCGCTTCTTTCTGAAGCTGATCTTCAAGAACCTGGCGCTGGTTCTCTTTTTCTTGAAGTTCTTGTTTAACATCGTCAACCTCTTTCAGAATTGTATGTAATTCATCGGTTGGGAAAGTTTTCTGATTTTTTATCTCATCGATTTTTACCGTAGGGAGACCAAGTGCATTAAACGCTACATAAACTTTGTCAATAGCATTCTGAAAATCCATCTCAGGGAGACTTCCCTGTGGTAGGTGGGCAAATTCCTCGTTTCTAAAATTTCTAAGATCATCCACATTGTTTCTGATTGTTGTTAAAAGGTAGGGTCCGACACAATCAGAGTAAAGGATGGCGTAAAACAGCACTGTGCAATCCCATTCCGCTCTGTTTCCATTTATCATGGTGGCCAAATGACGAGCGTTTCTTCTTTGATTTCTTAGAGACTCGCCGTTGCAAAAGTCCTTTCCATTCTGGCCCAAATCTTTCCATTCTCCCAATGATGTTGATTTGTATTCATTGTCCCATTCACGTTTAAAAACTTCTCTGAGGCCTTCGGCTAGAATATCAGTGATTACATAACAAATTCTGAAGTAGTTCAGCTGTTGTTTGGTGTATTCTATTGAAAGGGCCATGTTTGAGGCACTCCTGAGGCTTGGAACCTTTGGAAAAATGAATTAAAAAAACGAATTGATGAACGTTGTAGGGAAAAGAAAGGCAGGATCTTTTAATATGATTTAAACGAAATAACTTCTGTTGTTCTAAATTGTCCTTAACTCGGTCGATGTCAATTAGTTGTAAAGCCTCGGTTACTAAGCATATAGCAGGTTTTCCTTGATGAAGTATTTTCACAAACTTTTTAATCTACGCTAACAAGAAAACATTTATTTCTCAAAATATGAAAGGCAAAAAAGCTGACGTAAAATGCTTTTTTTAAACTTGCTCCACTGAGTTTTTGCATTTTAAGAATAAAATCAAAGATCTTTTAAGTGGCGTACAATAAGGGAGTGGATTATCATTTAAGCGCTCATGTGAATTACGGCAACATGATTAAAATTATGCTGAAATTCGTGTTAAAAACTGTTTAATATTCATCTTTTATAAACTTCCTTAATATATTGTTACTTTCATTTCCTTTGATAATAATTGTACCCGTCGCCGTAATTGTTAGTTCCTCTTTGAAAAATTGTAATTGAGGAGGCCTTAAGTTAACATTATCAGCTTTATAGTTTCCTTTCGGCCTCCTCGCCACTACATTTTTGTATTTTTTTGTAATTCTAATCATGAAATTTTTCTGTGTGGCACAATAAATGCAAAATACAAAATACAAGCTTGAACACGGTTTAAGAGTTGAAGTTAATTTGAAGAACTGAGTTAAATCTTCTTTTACGAACTTCTTTAAACAGGCTCTTTGTTCGTCTGTGGAACACACGATGGAAAGAGTGGCAAAGGAAAAAATGAACGCAAGAGCAAAGGTTGAAATCGTTTCTCTTCATGCGCCAAAAACAAAAATGCAGTACCCTTACCTAACTCTTAGACGTGTTGCAATCTCATTTTTAGCCATATCTACTATATGGCATTGGCGAAAAAAAAAAAGCGATCCGAAAAGGAGATTATTCTCTAGCTGCTGGCCACTAAAACTTATTTAAGGGAACACGGAAAGGATTTTTCTTTAAAGTGCTACTACGACGAAAATTTTTGTTTTTGTTTCCGAGTTTTTTTAACATAAATCTTTTGTATATGTTCAAAATTATACAAATAGCGAAAAATTGGAACGATACTTGCGTACGGGGGCTGGAAATTTCCCACTGAAAAGTGCGTAAATACCGTCCGCCATTACAAAGTTCGCAAAGCAATAGCCCGCGAGATCTCCGCAAAGCGGTCGTGCGTTTGACCACGTGATTTATGCACTGTGACGTAGAAACATCAACCAAAAGATTCGCATTTGGGAAAAGTTTGTGAGTTTAGAGCCTTTTAACAAGACGTTTAAGATGTCATCTCCGTCGGATTCCTCTTCCTGCACATCTGAAAGTGATCTAGAAAGTTTTACAGTTGACGAAGTGATGGGGGAATTGTCTGAATTTGTGCCGTGCGACGACAGTTGCGAACCCCTTGCTACCGAGGAAGAAGCCGCGGACTACAACGAAAGAGTTCATCGCGAAGAAGAAGAGGAACAACAGTTTTAACGAAGATATTCGGGAGAGGTGCCAGCGAATGAATGGTATGGTATTATCATGGAATGTAGATTTATATTTTCATTTTCCAATTTCAACATACCCGTCGTTAAATCGTGCGCGTGACGAACGCGACTGTGTGTTTTGTTTAAGTTTACAATTTCGTTGCTATGTGATTAGCTGTGGTCCTGATTTTATTCGATAGTTTTATTGAAGAGGTCAGACAATTAATAATTTTATACAGACGTATTTTTCTTGTGTTTGACGAATTTTTCACATTATTTTGCAGGTGTTCGTGCTCGAACTGCTCTGTCAGTCTTGTTACAAAAGCGCAGGAGTGCATTTGCTGCAAAGAGATCGATCGCTGCAAAGAGGTCAGGGAAGAAGACTGCTGTGGAGTTATATTGGTAGTTCCAGGCGATACCCCTTGCCCTGTTGTGCCTACAATAAAATCAGGAAACAATTTCCGAGTCAAAATGGCCATTATCGTGGATTCGAAGATGAAGAAAATGAATAATAAATGCACTGTTTGTTCTTGAAGAGTGTCATGTATGCCATTGGGGCCAAGAAGGACCTACAGTAGTTGCTTGAATACTTGTCCGTAAGCACTTAATTTTATGGGCCAAACTTCAGAATTCTCAGCCACTTACTCGCTTTTTGTTGAATGACAAACTTGCCTACTGTGTGAAGCCCTGTTCTTCTAGCGTTCAGTTAAACTCAAGTTTAGTGGCTGGGAATTCTGATGTTGCTCCAATTTTCATGTACACAAGTAATAAAAATTAAATTGAATTCAGCCTGAATTTAATTACATTTTTAATGTATCGTTTCTTTCTTTTCACTCTGCTCACAGAGCACTGCAAAACTTAATAGCAGGTTACTTGCTGGAACTTTCCTAGCAGGTCTGGTTGACTCTTCCAGACTTTTTTCTGACCCTGACCTCTTCGCAACCTGTAAAAAATGATTGAAAGGAAATACTCATTTAAGGTGGCTCCCTAGAGTAAATTGGCCGGTCGCAGCCTGAGCACTAGTATGGCGCGAGCTTTAAAATCCGCGCGACGTCCACGCAAAAATTAAAACAAACATGGCCTCTCAGTTTCGAAATATTCCCCACAAAAAACTTTATTAACTTTCTATTGAAACTCATTGTGCAAAAAGTTTGTTTAGTGTAGGTCAAACATTTATGAGAGGAGACAATGTTACACCGGTTACAAGTCAATATCGATCCTTAAAAGAGCAAATTGTATGTAAAAACAAAGCAAAAATTTTTTCCAAAGACATCAATTCTTTCGCTTCAACAGTAGACAAACGTTAAATAGTCGAAGTAAATGGACAATGTTTTTGCACAACGAGAAATAATTTTTACTCACAGATTGACCCTTGACGAAAGCAGTAGTTGTCCGTCGAGACCTACGGTCTTGTGCATGTAGCTGAGGACATGATATACGAATTGTAGATCGGCGCTATCTTTTACAGCAGACTTTAAAAGAAAAACTTCGCCGTCGAAATTATCCCTAAAGAAGAAGAAGGTTTAAAAAGTATCCGGAAGTGGGCTAACATTTGAAGATCTGCAAGCAGTGTATAGCAGATTAAAAAAAGAAGGCCTTTTTGCGATCCTTGCACAACCACCGTCTTCATCGGTCACCGTCTTCATCGCCGACGATCGCCATCCTCACGAGTGACCACCACGCTTTGAACTTTAGCTACAATAGTCAAGTTTTTCGAAGAAAACATCCTGTGTTAGGTATAAAATTGAATCCGCTATCCCTCCTTTTTCAACTGGCGAGATATCACCGTAATGATACTAATAAACGGCTTCAAAAAAAGGCTTTCCTACTCTTCAAAGAAACCACATGTTTTCAGTAGCTTTGTGCATTATGCGCATGCGGGCGTGATGGCTCGCGCGCGTATTTTGCTCACACGACCCCGAACCACGCGTGTTTTTCGGATTTTTGTGACGTCAGCGCAGTTAACCATGAATTTCTCGCGTTTCCTTCGGTAAATTATTTTAAAAATCGCCTCATTTCTTAACAATGGTAGTACCTTTGTACTGCCATTTTTTTGTCAAAATCTGTAAGAGCTAAACTCCTCTATTAAGAAAAAGTACAAATTTCGAAATATTGGCAAAACCGTCTTAACGACCCCATGTTTTTCCACTTTAAAATGTTAAGCAATATCGTTAATATAAAGTGGCAAAGTTTAAAGACATTTCACCGCGGGAAATTAGAACTATCAAGGAAAAATGGGCAAAAATGACAAAATTACTGCCTGTTTAAGGATGCAATGTTTCCATGGTAACGGCCTTAATCCAGAAAATGAAACTTGATAAAGGAGCCTTCTTATATGGGTAACCTTAGCGGTCAATCTCGTGAACAAAATCGCAAAGACAAAGTAACTAGATTTCCCTCTGTAACGTATGCTTGATAGCTCGGATTATTAGTAAATACTCTAGGGAGCCACCTTAATCGTAGCATCTGAAATAATAAAATAACAATAAAAAATGATTATCATTTTTATTGTTTTTCTCAGGGTGTTGCCAGTTTTTCAACTTGTTGTAAACCTGGCTAATTGTGGGTTGGGATTTTATTCTCACATACATCCTGAAAAATGCTTTTTTATAATAATTCTGTTGATTTTCATGTACACAAGTAATAAAAATTAAATTGAATTCAGCCTGAATTTAATTACATTTTTAATGTATCGTTTCTTTCTTTTCACTCGGCTGACAAAGCACTGCAAAACTTAATAGCAGGTTACCTGCTGGAACTTTCCTAGCAGGACTGGTTGACTCTTCCAGACTTTTTTCTGGCTACAGTTTCTGCAGAAACTTTCTACGGTTAACAAGGTACCTGTCTGTGATACAGAAAGTTTGGGTTTTGAAAAGAAGCACAAGTGGCAGAACTGAAACAAAAGAAGAAGTTTGGAAAGGAAAACAATTCCCTTCGGTTCCTCTCGAATGTTTTTTTCTTGTAGATCCAACCTGTAAAAAATGATTGAAAGGAAATACTCATTTAATCATAGCATCTGAAATAATAAAATAACAATAAAAGAATGATTATCATTTTTATTGTTTTTCTCAGGGTGTTGCCAGTTTTTCAACTTGTTGTAAACCTGGCTAATTGTGGGTTGGGATTTTATTCTCAGATACATCCTGAAAAATGCTTTTTTATAATAATTCTGCTGATTGCACACATAACAACTTTGAGCCCTTAAGCTATCTAGCCCACCCCAACGATGCATAATTTATTACCAGTGGTTGAGTGGACAAACCAAACATTTTTAGGCCTGGGACTTTTTACAATTCTTATCTGAGTAAATTATTAAACAAATTTCATGTACTCTTGTTTCTAAATAGATCCTCTCATAATGGAAGTTAGTTTTAGGCCTAAATCACTTCCCAGAGGATACTTAGAGCTAAGATGTTAAAATGCAATAAATTTTGCTCTTTGTACCTTGGGTTCTGATGAGTCTTCACCGAGTCATCATCTTCCTTTAGTTTTTTATATGCATCTTCGATTTCTTTAGGACTCCATGTAGGGTCTTCATCACACTCAAACTCCTCATACGCGTCGTCCTGCATTTCCTGCTCATCTTCTGATTCATCCTCTAGCCCTAACTCTGTCTCATTTGTTACTGGCCATGGATCAGTTTGAATAGCTTAAACAAATGGAATTAAAAAAATTCTATCACCATTAAAATTTTGTTGATTAAATGTAATAAAAATATAAAGATAGGCAGTTATGCCTATATGACTCATCAACATCAATTATTGTTGACTCACCAGCATTCACCATCAGCAACTGCTTAGGCTCTTGTATGCTCTTAAAGGTTTCAACCCACTGATCTTGATTGGAGATTAACTTACTCTTCAGTCTTGTGACTTTGCCCCCTTAACTGAGTCACCTCACTCCTCCAGGTTTTGTATGTTGTGCAATTCCCAGCATGTCCAGTTGGAGTATCCTACAAAAAACAAACTTTCAACATTAATACAGGCTGTAACAACAAGACTTTAGAATTTTTGTGTTTTAGTATTGTTGTAAAATAGCTGCACATGTAGTTTTCCATTGTCATGATAATACAAAGATGCAAATAAACATTAATTAGAGTTATGTACCTACCATAGAAACCTGTTCAAGTTCAGGAATCGTTAATGATTCATCAATCTGCATAACTTCATCCATATCCTGCGCTTTTTCGATTCCCTGAGCCTCCAGGATCTGCATGGTCTCAGTAACCTCATCAGTGCCTGAAATCCCTTGGCTCTGGAGAGCTGTCTTATCACCTGGAGTACCTAGGACCTCTGAAGCCATCTCAGCATCAACACTTATCTCACCCGTCTCAGTCTCAGGGATGCAGCCCTCCTTTTCAGGATTTACCTCAAGCAAAGAACCCTGACTTGTATTCAGAACACCCTCGACTTCTGGAGACTCCTAAGGGTTGAGATTGGGAGCCCCCATAGAGTCAGCACTCTCCTCAGGTGCAGAACTTCCTTTCAAAGAGATCACCTCTTCTTCAGGATTGTCTTCTTCCTCTGTATCCTCATTAGTAGTTTGACCAGCCAGAATTTCATTTAGTAGCTAAAAATGAAAATAGGTACGACCATTTTTTATATCTCCCCTTCAAAACAAGTTTAAATTTGAGCTTTATGTCGATGTTTTCAAAACTAGAAATGGAAGCAAGGTTTAACCACATCTTTGCCTTAAAATGTATGCATCATTTGCAGACAGTGAAAATAGAATTAAAATACTAACGAAAAAAAAAAACCCGCAAACAGTAACTGAACTGATAGAATGCAGAAATCAGACTAAGTCCATTTTTGGTCGTTTTTAAAGACTTGCGTGTAACTCTTAATTTCCTGTAAGATTTCTTGGAGGGAAGTTTGGAGTACTGTCAAATCTCAAAGTAACAGCAAGATAATCTCTCAAAAAATAGAGAGCCGGATTTCTATGTAGCTTCACTTTTTCTAAATTTTACGTTTGAGTGGAAGGTCTGGGAATTGGGGAATCGACTTCACGTCCACTCAGCGCAAATGCCCGTTTTACTAGAACTATGAGAAGAAAGCAGAAAAGTATGAAAACACATGCAACAATATGGGAAGTCCAAATAGTCAGAGTATTCATTACACGAATATTGAACAACGATGCCAGAAAAAATCATGTCACAGGTAAATGGGGAAATAAATATAATGGTGATAAGCACAGCGCAAATACATTGTAGACATTGTAAATTCACTCACCGATCGTCGACTCCGCTTTGATAGTGTTTGAGAGGATTTTTTCCAAATGGTTGGAAACGTCCCCTTCTTCAAATTCCTTTTCATGCCTTTCATCGGAAAAGCAAGCGTAAAGCAATCTCTTGTAAAATGCTCCGAGCACACAGCAAATTTTCCCACTGTTTTGAAATCGTTCCGATGAATGGACACGAACCTTTTCCACTTTAATCTAACGCTGCCCGAATCAGGAGAATTATGAATAGAAATCCCAATTCATCGTTCTTTACGTTTCCACAGTCCTGCACAACACAACGTCTACCAGCATACTTTCGCTTTAAGTCAAAAAAGCGAACAAAGAACCTCCAAAAGCTTCCAAAAATATCTCGTCCTGCATGCGAAATTAGCCACGTTTGTTTGCCTTGTTTTGTCGCGTTGATTTTTCTACGTCACATCTCGCCCCAACTCCTTCAAATACTACTCCCGGTCATTTTTTGAATCGAGTAATGGCGGCAAGACATTTACGAAAATTGCCGTGCAAATAAACACACTTCCAGATCATATTTGGACTCCAAACTTGGCACGGTAAGTAACTTTTACATACATTTTCGAAATATGTAATCAAAAACAAATTCCCAAATTTGATCGTAGTAGCACTTTAAATGTTGTAAAAATAAGCCCACCTAGGCGCTTTCCGGGTGGGAGTAGGGTATTGCAAAGTGCCAGCACTGAAGCTTTACTTTTTAAGGCCCAGTTCACACGTCGAATTTCACATGTGCCGAACTTCCTATTTTAGAGGACTAAAATAGTTAAATACGGCATTTGATTCAAACGTCCAATTTAACTCTGCCTTGATTTAACTCTATTCGCTGTCTGTATTCCCAGTCTCTAAAACTAAAAGTTCGGCACATGTGAAATGCGACGTTTGAATCGAAAGTCGAAACTAAGTCAAATCTTCGACTGTTCCAGTCCCAGATACGGCGAAAGTCGCATTTAATTTACATGTAAACAGTCGAATTTAATTCATTCAAACGTCGCACTTCACATGCATTTAAAACCCCATTTACACGCACTAAAAAATCGGCACGGCGCGCCAAATTTTTGGCACCGTGCTGACGATTTTAAGGCACGGCACTCCCAATTTTCGACGTATAGACGGATCGGTCCCAAATGTAATGTGGCACCCTTGCTCAAATTTTTAGGGGTGCCGAGACTACCTCCGGGAGGTAGTCTTGGCACGGGTAAACGAGGCACGGTGCCAAAAATTTGGCGTGCCGTGCTGATTTTTTAGCACGTGTAAATGGGGTTTAACTCTCGCATTAAGTTCGGCGAACGTGAAATTCCACGTTTGAACCGGGCCCAAATTTAAACATTTCGACGTTACAATATCTTCAATCTGCGCACCTCAGATTACTGATTTGAATGTGTTAACGTGCATGCAAATGAGATTCACCAGGCCTCTGAAAAAATTGATCCGTTTCGCTTATCGACCCTGAAGAACTTAGCGGCTGACAACAAACGCAACATTTACTTCAAAACACAAAAAGGAATTCACACAAAACGAATTGGGATGGAATTTTGCCCTGATTGAACCTAGGCGTAGCGAAAACTTTAAATCTGTTTTTGGTTTTTATCATCATTTTTTCAGTGACAAGTAGCGGGGACGTGTGGAACCATATAGTGTTTGAGTCATGTCCTTGTTTTCCGCGAGAACGTAGACATTATCGCTTACCATGTTCTTAGTATCAGTTTCAAAAAATAATACACTTTTAGCCTAATGCATTTTTAAACATCATTGCTTCCCAAAACAGATCCTTTATCTCTGTTGTACGTTGTCTGCGCCTCGAGACAAGCACATAATACTAAGCGCAGAACAAGATATTATTCCTTGATTAACATTAAAAAAATGTTTTGTGGCCATTCGGTTTAGCCGGAGACGGTTCAGTCACCAAATGGATCAGATGGATCCTCTAGTGCTACTGTGAAAGTAAACATCAACCCCTCCCCCGCGATCTTCTTTTTGTGATACAATTTCAGCAAGCAATACACATACAGAACCGTTTAGTTAACAGAACATTCAAGAAATGGGCCCGGGTGCCTCAGGCAACCAACTTTTGTCTTGGCACAACTTGAAAAACTTTATGTGCCTATAAAAACACATCACCCGAACATTTTTAACATTGTTGTCTTTCCTTGGTGTGTATTATATCAATTTAGTCTAGTCCAAGACCGATCAAAATTAGGCTTTTGCTAATTTAATATGAGCCACTTGCCAATACGCTATTATTGAAAAGGAAGCAATTAAAAACGAAAGAGGATGTATTTTGAGTATTTTACAACTTTTAGTGCAAGAACCAAGAGAGTAAAATACATGTACTAGGTAAGAAATAGTTCATGCAATTTAACCCTTTAAACCCTCATTTGTTGTCCCCAATATGTTTTCAGTAGAGGAAATAGGGAGAATTTGTTGAAGTATTAAATAGATTCATCTTTTGCCATCATGCCCTCAATTCTCCTGCCCATTCTGCTTTATAAAGCATGCTATTTCAAGGAGAAATTTCATACTGATCACTCTCAGGGTTGAAAGGGTTAAACGATAAATAACAATCATTCACTGAAGTGGACATATTTACCAACCACTAGCTCCCAACACTGAGGTGAATAATTGTTTTCTACTAAAACAGTGAGATAATTGATCACAAAAATGATGGTTTTGAACTCATTTACTGCTGCTAATGATTACAATTTTTGCGAGCAAATGACTGAATGGCCGTGGTGTTTCTTGCCGACAGATAAAACTTTTGAAGGCATTTGTTTAGCTACCGGGGTATTGTGGGGAAATTTCTTCAAAAGGTATTTGAAACCATTCTGTAAAAAACTATTAAATTTAGTTTTAAGCTTATTTATGACCATGTCAGCTAAATAAATTAAAGCAAGACTTAAGACGGAATCCACCAGGACATTGAGTAATCTTGATTTTCAGTGGACAAAAATCTTGTACCAGAATAATTTAAAGCATATTGCATTCTTTCTTACATTTTTCAAGGGCTAAAGATGTAATAAATCATCTGTAGTAACAACAAAAAAAGTTTCTCACGACAGCCCGAGAAAATGAATGTCAAATTTCAGAGAATTACATCTTACACATGAAATTTTCAGAATTTTACCTGTGTCATCACAATTCTTGTGAAATTTAACATTCATTTTCTCGGACTTACATGAGAAATTTTCTTTGGTGTCACTACAGATAATTTATTACATCTTAAACTCTTGAAAAATGTAAAAAAGACGGCAATATTCTTTAAATTATTCTGGCACAAGGTTTTTGTCCACTGAAAATTAAAATTACTCAATTTCCTGGTGGATTCCACCTAAAATTGAATTTGTAAACAAAAAAACTTTTTCACCGGTTTCATCAATAAATTCAAGTCAAACAGACAAAGCTTTACCTGCTAAAGCTTCCAAACCAAATTTCGTCACCTCCTTCAAATATATCAGGAGCAGTTTGTTTGATTATTTGTGAAATTTCTTTGTTTGTTACGGCAGCAAAAATCCAGTCGCATATGCGACCAATTAGTCGTTAACTTTGAGCCCTGCCAGGTGATGTTTATTGGCCAGTGAATTAACAAACTGGCTAGCCCAAGATTGTTAAGGTCTAACACGGCCTACATATCACGGTTTGTATAAAACACCGAGGACATGCAATAGTGCAAAAATTCATTTACCTCTTTGGATTTTTTGGTGTCCTTGCTTCTATCCGAGCTGTCATCATCATCTCGTCTTCTTTTGTCTCGACTATCACAGAAAAGTAAAAGACTAAATCAAAGAAATTCAATGATAACAAGCCAGCACAGTTCGACAAATTTCATTCCTGAGTAACACAGAAAGCTATGTTTTGTGTTACACTGTACATGTACGTCAATGTAAAAAGAAATCCAGAAATCAGTCATTGGTGAATTCATTGTTCGTTCCTGTCTCGCAAGACTCAATTCTCAACTCATTCCTCGATAACTTGTTCTCAAATCTTGTTTCGTACAGGATCAAGTTGAGTTGAGACTCGTAACAGACTTTCAACTTACTTTTGAACAGTACTATACCTTGACTTAGACTTTTCTTGTTCAGGACGTCGACTTCTACTCTTTGATCGCGAACCAGAAGAAGTTGAACGATTGCGACTTCTTGAACGTCTTTTTCTATCTCTTTCCCTTTCCCTGCTACGAGGCCTTTCCTTCTTTCTCTTTTCATAGCTTCTGCTTCGAGATCTTCGCTTTCGTTGACTGTCTTTGTCCTCTTTTCTGGGAGCAGGGCTACGACGACGACTTCTGCTTGTTGATGCTCCGCTTGGTGGGGAACCACTTGCTGATCTTTTTCTCTTTCTCTCCTTCTCTTTCTCTTTTTCTGTTGGTCTCTTGCTAGTTTTGTCTTTTCTCTTTTCAACACTTCTGCTGCGAGATCTCTTGCGTTCCTTATTTCTTTCACGACTTCGTGATCTCCTACTTCTCTCTCTACTGTTTGATCTGGAACGAGACTTCTTCTTTCGCCTGATATAAAATACAGTAACAACATATAGGTAAAATTCAGTTGCCTCTACTCTTTATTACTTATCAGTTTGTGCCTGTGTCAGTGACTGAAAATCATCTTTCTAATGTATTTACCAGTCTCAAAAACTCACCATCACATCTCTATCAAAGTTTCTTTTATTAAAAGAACCTAGTTCAGTTCTTTAATGAAAGAAACTTTGAATGAAATAGCTCTACAGTGTTGGAACATTACAATCAATACAGTGTAACTTAATTATAGTGCCAAAGTTGCTAGCTGGTCATATTGACCTTCTAATACCGTAAAATTCCGAAAATAAGCCCGGGGCTTATATTTTTCAAAGGCCCTTTTTGAGGGGCTTATATTCGAAGGGGCTTATCTACAGAGGGAAATCTGCGTTTCAAAATCGATTGGGCTAGCCATATAGTTAAAAATAAATTTACCGTTTTTGCTTTGTTTTACTTCGTATTTGAGGGCAATTTTCCAAGTACAAGCCCCCGGGGGGCTTACTGGTATATTTGGAGGGGCAATTTAACGGAGGGCTTTTTGCGTTACCGGATTGGGGGGCTTATATTTGGAGGGGCTTATACATGGAGGGGCTTATTTTCGGAATTTTACGGTATTTAATATCACTATTTCGCTCGAGATATGCATGGAAAATTAAAGTCACGCGACTAAATAACGCAGGCAGGCTAAATAAGACAACAACTACAAGGAAGCGTAGTTAGGGGGGGACACAGCCCTATGGCAGTTTATAGTGACTTGATGCGATGCGCACAAAATAACACAAGCCTCACTTATCGCCCACTACCGTGGGGTAGGGCAAGAGTATTGGCAGAACCTTTCTTATCTCCCCAGCCCTTGCAAGGGCTGGATCAGACAAGATTAAGGCAAAGGAATAAGATGGCAAGACACAAGCAATGCCAAAATCTTGGGGGAAGTCGCAACGCAGACTTAACCACACCACATGGAGTGACCCGCCAAACTTTTATTGATATAACACAACACAACTCCTCCAAAAGAAGGGAGGGCAGGTAACAAAATTACCGTAACTCTTTGCTTTCATGCAAGCTAGCCAAATAATGACCAGGTGTGGCATAGCAGAACTTTTATAGTCAGACAGTTTCTCAAATTTCGACTAATAAATACAGTTGTACCATACAATGTAAGCTACAGATGTACCTAGTCTTATCATGATAAATGTCTAGTCCTGCTAAGATATACACAATGACAAACATGTGAGGTTCCAGCCATGAATAGCTTTTGCTTGCAGCTTAAAAAATAGTGTGCTTTCATTTAGGAATAAGGTTTTCAAGATACAACCGAGCATACATCTGGGCAGGCTACCTCAGCCTTCAACCACCGGGCCCGTCATGTTCCATTAACTAGATTTACAATGTGGTTAAATGTCTAGCCTGCGTAGCAGGTGCCTGGAAGTAGTGGGCGTGAGAAAGAATGCACGCGTGAGAGGGAGACACGTGAGGGGAGAGGGAGCGCCTGCCCGGAAGACCCACAAAAGTTGTTTCAACTCGCACTTCAAAGCTGGAAATTACTGTTGGACATTGGACATTGTCCGACCAAAATGCTGTAAATGTCCAACTAATATTGCATTATGTTCAGACATAATGTCCAAGCACTTACGTGTAATTGACTTGGCTCTTATCTTAAATAGGTTGTTTACATCCCTGAGTTGATTTCGAAAACATTAAAAGGTAAAACGCTATGATGAAAAATAAACTTTACATTCCAGTGAAAGACTTTCTATTTTGAGGAAACTCGAAAACGTCCACTTATTGTATTTGTCTTCCTGAGAAACGTAGCAGCTCTTTTTGTTAGGGAATTACTGGGCTCTACTTTCCATATATGGAAATCTTATTTTTGTAGCTGAAATCACAATGCTTTGGAACTAAAATGGCTGCGTTATTTCTACAATCTGAAAGATGAAGAAAGCTTTGTAAGACGAACTGGAAAACATTCCATGCGATTCCTTCGGCAGTTTGAACAACAACCACACGAAAAGGCATTGTTCAAAAGTAAATTATTTAGTCATGTATAGAAAAAGATAAAAGAAAATATCTTCACAATAGTGCAAAGGATGAATGCCTTCCTTTAAAGTCAGCTGTGAACCATAAACAACCTTCTTTTAAGAAAAATTCACATCAAAAGGCAATTGCAGCAATTTTGCTGATTTGGGGAATATTTCAATGAAATAAATGTCTGCTTTGGTTGCTTTGTTTACTGTAAAATTCCTTTGTAATAATGTATTGTTTATTACATTCAAGGCTTGTAGTACATGTACACTTAAAATCATGTACACCATTTTTTTTTTTCTGAACTGAATAAATATTGCCATTTTCAAAACTACCGGTGTCCTGGGCACTTTTTCTCCAGAAAAACCAGCAGTGAATTTCTTTATGAGCATGTACAATAATGTAATGTAACAAATACAAATAAGAGTGTTGTAGCAAAACTCATAAAGCATTTCCCCAAAACATCAAACATCAAAACGTTCTACTGGTCTATTTAGATCACTATTTTGTTTCTTTTTTAAAGCTTAAGAGTTTTGCAAATTGTGTCTTGAATCATGAAAATTTTGAAGGAAAGACTATTTCTTTTAAAAAAATAACAGAGTCGCCAATGTGAAGAACAGGTTCTTCAAAAGGGTTATATACTATCAAGAGATTTGAGGCAAACCAGTTTGAAAGCATTACCAGGCTTGAATAAATGCCACCAAGAGCCATGGCTCTAGGCACCATGGCCCCGTAATAATGAAAATCAAAAGACGTTAATTTTGTTAATTTAATACGACAAATAACAATATCATAGTTAAAAAAATTATTTGAACTGCCTTTAACTTTCAAATAAATGTGATGAATGCCATGGCACTTATTCGAGTAAATACGGTATGCTTATTAATGTCCGACCAATTTTGGAATATGTCTTCTCAAAATAAAGGTTTGAAAGGACACAATTCAATGTCATGTCCTTTTAAGTTAGAAAAATTATTTCTAGCACTGCATTCTGTGAGTGCGGATATTTCCAATTGGTTGAAAGGCTCCCGAGGGAAAAAGTTACTGCGTTGGATGAGAAAACTGTCAATCAATAGTACATGGACAACATAGTGAAGGTCTTATATTACACCAATAGCTCCTGAAACCACTAAATGGTATAATCAAAGTTCAGTTCTTGGAGGTCACTTCAGTCTGGTTTAATGGGACTATGTGACTGTAATCTCAAAGAAAAGTTGGAGTGTTCAAACGGTATTCACTTTGGAAAGAATTCACATCAGATACACATTAACAGAAGTGGTGAGAGACAAAAGATTTGTCAAATCGTGCAATGAAGATCAGAGGAAATATTCTTTGCTCTGGAGAACTTGGCGACTTGTGTTGTCAATGGAATGCATACCATCAAAACTTGGACAGGATTGATGAAATGAAACACTTACCAGGACATAAAAACCTTACCCTATTGTATATTTATTCGGAATTCAGAGGCAACCTGAGGTCTGTTGCTTATGTCTCGGTACTGCAGGAGAAAACATCTTGGTACATTTTGTGTTCTGAAGATTAGGTCCACTTAGTAAGACTGCTGGAAAAACTGCTGCCACTTAGCACAGTAAAAGCTACGGTCATTTTCCACATAATATGCTGTGATCATTGGTGTCTGTACAGTTGTGATTAAGTAAGCTCAGAGAACAATATTTAATAGCTTTTTATAATACACAGCATGCATTCTTGAAAATATACTCATTTTTGACTTTGTTCTTTCCTATTTTTTGTGCCCGTGGTTAAAAACGAGTTAAAGCTGTGTGTTAACCATCAGTTTGTATGCTCCATCGCTCTATAATCAGATAATCCAGCTGATCTCTATAAGAGATATATTCAGACTGAGAATAAAATGTACAATGCTTTTTGGCAGCACGCTTTGTTTGTGTGAGGTCATTCGTTTTCTGTCAAAATTTTGGTGAGATCACGTGGCGGCCGCTAGGTAATTAGACTGGGGGCAGGAGACAATAATTACATGTTTTTTCGTGGGCCTTTCAGGCAGGTGCTTCCTCTCCCCTCGCATGTCTCCCTCTCGTGCGCCCGTTATTTCTTGCGCCCACTACTTCCAAGCGCCTGCTACGCAGGCTAGTAAATGTCTTATATTACTGAGCAAACAAGAGTGACCAATTTCCATAAATTTTAACTTACTTGTTGTCTCTTCCCATTTCCTACTACAAAAGTCAACCAAACCAATGTTCCACAGTTCGCCTTATCCTACAAAAGAAATAACATTTAAGTAATACATCCATTTTATATAGCAAGCCAAATTACAGGCAGCCCAAGCTCAATGAGCTCACAAATATATGTGAGGTGTTGTGTCACAAGGGTTGGTTGAAGATTATGAAGGTTTGCATGGGATATTGCAACTGATTTCACATTTTAGCCCCATTTTTGCCAATCTCGATGATTTACCATCCCCAGAGTTTCCAGCATAATGGTTCAAAAGTTAACGTTATTTCTTTTTTCAATCAAATCAGTTGTGATCCCATACAAACGGGTGAGTGAAACCTTTGTAATCTTTTAAGCAACCATTGTGAACAACACCTCACATACATTTGCAAGCCCATACAATCCTTCAGTTGTAAGACCTTGTAACACAACACCTCACACATGTTGTTATGTTTATAATCACCTAAATGTATGCTAAATTTAGCATGGGCTGCCTGTGGCCAAATGCTTACATCAAAAGTTGAAAGAAGTCTTCAAGCACAGACCATGTTGATCATTAGTACATGACTTTGTTATATGACAACTGCTACAGTCATTCTATCAACATACATGTACAGCTAAACTCCACTTTACAGACACCCATTTTTTACAGTCAATTCCTTATTACAGACAGTTTTCTTTGACTCTGGGTGAAGCCCCCGGGGGGTGAGGGGGGTACTTCCTTATTAGAGGCTAATGGGGATGTGCCGCTGTATGGGGTCGCATTTTCACGACTGGATTGACTATAGTGGTGTCATATTTTCACATATTTTCAATAGAGTTACTAGAATGGGGTCGCACATTTTCGGATTTTTTTGGGTAAGACATGGGTCAATTCATAAAAATAGAAAGTGACTAATATAAGTTGGGATCCCGAAAATTACATATTTGCCCAAAAGTGACTAAGATGGGGTATATAATAATTATTGGCCACAGAATAGACTATAATGGGGTAGGGGCTCTGAGAGGCCAGCCGTACATACCCAGCAAAAATTAACCCAAGTACCCCGCCCCCTGGGGTGAAGCCATTGTATTTTCTCTAAATTCAACCTGCTTAATAAGGACACCCATTAGGGAAGTCAACAGACATGTTTTCATGACTAATCAAAAGATTCTAATAGAAAGTTAAAAGCCCTAAAAGGGACAATTTATTATTGTCAACTGTGTCCAGCAGTAAGCTTTACCCTTCCTGAAGGTAAAACCCTCGGATGACAGCATGTTGATATTCATAGTAAAAGTAAACAGGAAAAGGTAAAGTTTAGACATCAATTTCTGACTTTTGGCAAAAAAACTAGTTACACTGAGTATTGAATTCAATAGAGTAATATAAAAATCAGTGGCTTTAAGTTTTCTCCACACATGTAGTCCACAGAATAGAGGTATTGTATGAGATAAGTATATTAAATAGTTTGATGATGATAACAGTACTGCTCCAAAGTAAGTTGAAAGTCACTCACGTCTTGATCCTCGAGACCTGAGACTGAATTCTTGATTCTCGAAAATTACAAGGATGGAGTCTCGAGTCTCGAGAATTGAGTCTCCAGTGTTGATGATTGAGGATCGAGTTTCAAATATTGAGTCAAGAAATACTGTGAACTTGACATGCACACTAACCTTGTATTCTAAAAATTACCGCTCTGTGCATTGGGTGAGACTCATTTGCTTTCGTGTAGACACAGCTCGTGCTTTTAAAGCAAAATGTTCGCTTTTGGTCTCCTGTTAAAAGTCCTTTTGAAACTTGCCTTTTAGAAATGAAGGCATACATGTACGTAAGATACATGCAATACATGTAGCGGTGAAAATTGAGCCTCCGTTTGAAAGAAAGCAACAACGAAACAACTCATGCATGTGCACAGTGTATGGCCATAATTCTTTTTCACTTTCCATTGTTCGTACATCTCACTAGCGGTAACAAAAAGAGCCTCTGTTTAAAAGTAAACAATAACTAATCGACTCAGTTAATAATTGTACTCAAAGCAATTTTTTCAACCATAAATCTTCTTTAATCATTCCAAAACAAGATCACAGATTCACACGCTTCAATTCGAAAACTAGATCTTATCTATCTCACAAATCAGTCAAACTCCAAATCATGTGGCAAATGACAGCTATGTTTTCCGATTTCTGCCAGACTCGTTAGCCTGCTTGTGCATTCCCTGTGACTTTCTATCTTTCAAACAAAACGAGTTTGAAACTCTTATTAAAACTCAAATGATCGTTGCTAAAGTATCGCTTCGGCAAAGAAAGTTTCCGTTGACATCAGCTAGATTTGCATAAAAGCAAGTTTTATAAATTAATTCATGGGGTCGCTGAGCAATTGTGTGCGAATGAACATGGCAGTTCCAAGCCACATTTACATGAACGAGTTTGAAACTTGATTACATGGCAAACTTACATGTATCAACTCAAACGCTCACGAAAATGTCGCTTTGTAAGACAAATAAAGTTTTCCGTGAAATTTAATATTGTGTGACTGTGTGTATACGGTGAAAGCATGACAAGCCACAGAATCGCCACCGAGAAGTGTTTTTAAATTTTCTTGGAGATGAAAGTCTACAAATTACATTTATGAAATCATTCTAAGTCACATTTCCACAAAAGGGTTTAATAGTAAATTTACCAAGTTGACTCAAATGCTCGTGAAAATGCTACTTTTTAACAAAGACATTTTATCGTAAGAATGTTTATCAAGATTTGCATAAAACCTCGACAAGCTAAATTCACAGAATTGCTGAGCCGCACTGTTCATATGGGAAAATCTAGGAACATGGTGAGCAAAGGCTACATACACTGTACGTGAAGGATAAATCTTTGAAACCAGAAATATTGATTGCCGAAGCTGGCAATTCAACTAGTTACAGAACACTGCATCGCAATCACTGATCGACGGTGCGAATTTCTGAACGGCTATGTGAATGTAAAACATCATTCCTTCGGAAAACAAAAATAATTACAGTGAATGTATGGGATTTTGGGCCACTTGGAACCGCTATAATGCTGCTACAAAGAGGCGGATTTCCACAGGGAAATATATTTTAAATATTTTTACATTTGTACTGAGATTATTTTTATAAAGTATAAGGAAGAGATTCAGGTTATAACGACTGTAAACAAATTTTCAAGATTTCATACAAACCCTTCTAATCAACATCATGCAAATTACCATGAAATTAGAAGCCACATGAGAAGATTTATACATGTAATTCTAATTCACAGACGTTGTACCTTCTTTAATAGCCTTATTTTCTGTTGACTGAAAGATATCAATAAAACTATTTAAAGTAGTAGCAAATGTTGGAAATCTGCCTCTTTGTAGCAGCGTTATAGCATTTCCATGTGGGCCAAAATTCCGTACATTCACTGTAATTTTAGCCATGTTTGCCCCCTGGCGAAGATGGCATCATAAACCGTGAAAAGGTCTATTCTTCTGTGACCTTAGGCCATCCCCCTTTTTCTTTCGTTTGGCGTCGAATGCGTTTCCTAATATTGGGTCGGTTGGTCAGATTGACAAAAAAAAGAAACCTAAAAAAAAATTACAAAAAGTATGGGAATAGGAGGCCCTGGTACCCCAGGACGACGTTAAAAGTTAACATTAAAGGGACAGTGTCCCTATTATGCGCATGCGCGAGCATCACTTGTTTTTTCTTCAAAAGACAATAGAACTGTCATATTGACTTGACAAGATTTCCTTCCGGACCGCACTGCCGACGGGGTTTTGTTGTTTATATTCTCAAGTAATATTTTAGACTTTCAAAGAAGTCTTTCATCTTATTTAAAATTTGACTAGTGGCACGAGGACTCATCACAATTTCATCGCCAGCAGGGCCGTCTCGCGACCCAAAAATCTTGTTCCGCTCGCTTTAAAAACCGCTTTTCTAATGTGAAACTCGTGTTAGAGGTCAGTTGTTCCAAGCCCAGTGATATTTACCTGATTTGCTCGCATTCTAGCCTCAAGCGTTTGAAAGATAAATAAAAATGCAATCTCATCGCTATGAATCATCGCAAAGGTTAGTCAAAAATTATATTATGATTTCGTTGCACTAGTTTTTCTAAACATGTAGTGCCTGTTTGTTTGATTTTGTCAGCTGTAGGGAGTGAAAGTTTACTAAGATGTCGTTGCAAAACAATCTGCCTCACGAAGCTACTTTCACCAGATCTCCTCAGTACAGTCACATCAATGCCTCAATGGTTTCTTTCTTACTGTCTTTATTGTTGCTGTTTCATTTCTGCGTATTCCTTACACAATTATCTGAGCCTGTATTGAAGCTGGCAGAAGAAATTAAGTCTTCAATCGGCATCAAAACGCTTCCCATCTTTTGTCCTCCCGCCAACGGCAATAAAAGTAACGCCAAGAAAAACCCGATTTCGCCCAAATCGAAACTCAACAGGAACATTAAATAATAATAATAATAATAATAATAATAATAATATAGATTCTTATTAAGTGCATTTCTATCCTCAATGCGCTTTACATTATGAAAGCCGATTGAAGATCATTACAGTTCTAGCCTATTGTGACATTATACATCAAGTATTGTAAAACTTTAAAAATCCTCATTGTAAAACTTTAAAAATCCTAAAACCTTAAGCATGAAAATCAATTGTAACATTATACATCAAGTATTGTAAAACTTTAAAAAAAATCCTAAAATGTTATCATGTTTGTAAAAACTTTAAAACCAACTTGTAAAACTTAAAAATCCTAAAATGTAAGGCATGAAAATCAATAATCAAGTATTGTAAAACTTTTAACAAAACCCTAAAATGTTAAGCATGAGAATCAATTGAAACATTTCCTGAATAGAAATGTTTTAAGTTTTGTTTTAAATGTTGTAACAGTGTCCCAATTTTTGATATATTCTGGGGTAGTGTTCCATAACTGAGGTGCTGCAGTGGAAAACGCGTGTCCTCCATATGTTTTGGATTTTATGGCTGGGGTGCATAATAGCGAATGGGATGATGATCGTAGAGCTCTTGATGGATGATAATCCTTAATCAGAGGTTCCAGATATCCAGCAGATTGTCCATTTAAGATCTTACTATGTGATAAGAACAATCTTAAAGCCAGTGCAGGCTCTTTAATAAAGGTGTAATGTGGTCAGAGCTGCGGGCTCCTGTTATCATTCGAGCTGCGGTATTCTGAATTCTTTGTAACTTATCTCTCTGGTATTTTGGGATGTCATATAGGAGACTATTGCAATAGTCATTGATCACTAATTCTGAGAAGTTTTAGCGTTGTACTGAACTCGGTCAAGGGCGATGCAAACGGATTTTTCAATGTTCTCCTACTCTCCTCACATCTTTTGATTTTGCGACATCCTGTCCAAAAATCAAAGTTGGTGCATGCGCAGTAACAGGATACTGTTCCTTTAACATATGTGACCTTGCACGCGAAAACGTGCAATAACAGCTTTCCGTTTTCGAACGGAATTCTGTTTAGAACCCGTTTGAAAGCCGTTTGAAAGAAATTTGCATTCGTTCGAACGACCTGGGTCATCCGTTCGAACGGCTTGATCACCCGTTCGATAAAAACGTCCAGCCGTTCGAATGACTTGCTCACCTGTTTGGTAAAAGCATCCATCCGTTCGAACGACTTGCTCACCCGTTCGATAAAAACATCCAACCGTTCGAACGACTTACTCACCCGTTTGTTAAAAACATCCAACCGTTTGAACGACTTGCTCACCCGTTCGCTGGAACATCCATCCGTTCAAACGACTTGAGTATGAGACAGTCATAAGAGCGGTTGTCTTTTCCTGTTCGTGTACTCGCGTGTTCTTGATAACGAATTGTCACTTACGGAAAAAAAGCCCTCCGATCACTTGAACAGTCTGAACCGCTGCGTGAGTAAATTACAAATGAAAACTGCGATATTGTAAATTTCTTTAAAAACTTCTCGCAAAGTTATTATTACAGGCGAAGAGCTCTTGCAGAAAATATATTTTGCACTTCTAAACATACGGTAATCAGTCGCTAGTAGAAGCGAACTTCTTAAATTCTACCCTGTGTTACAATGCGGTTTATAAACATTACCGGTATAACTATGGTTGTGATAAGCACATAAATGATTTTCTGAACACCGAAATCTCATGAGTCTGCCTTGTGTATTCCTCTTATTTCGAAGAGAATCCACTGAATGAAAGCATGCACTGAGACAACAACCATGTTGTTTTGACGCCCTGAATTTGCGTCCGACTGTCAAAGTGATTGATGCGATTGGCTGGTGTTGTGTTACCTGTCACTGTTGTGTAACTTGTATGCAAATTTATCGAGATCGGTGTAATGACACGCAACCGAACTGAACTGACGGCAATGTGTTTGAGTCATAGTCAAAAGTAAAGGTCAGCATAGCATACAATTTGAAAATGTATCGGGAACAAAAAGTTGGGTATTTGTTCTGTAAGAAAGCTAGGAAAAACATCACCGCAAATACTTTGCAAGTTTGCATTCGCCGTTGATTTTCTTTCGAGTTCCGCTTAAGCAAACTCAGTTACGAATGTTCTCTGCATTTCAAGTTTACTTTCTTTGGCTTTCAGTGGTGAAATAAACAGGAGCAGTTTCAACGATTGAAAGCCATCCGTTCGAAATTAATTTTAAGTGAGATGTGTAGCGGCACGGCACCATTCGAAATAAACAAAACAAATTACAATCATCAAGTTTGTAAGCCGTTCGTGACTGCTCGTTCGAAGATTTCATGAGCCGTTCGAACGTTTAGATCGCCCTTTCGAAATTCTTTTCTGAGCCGTTCGAACAGTTTAGATATCCGTTAGGAATCTTTTTATGAGCCGTTCAAACGGTTTGGTTACCCGTTCGGAATTTTTTATGAGCCGTTCGAACGGTTTGGTTACCCGTTCGGAATGTTCTACGACCCGTTCCACAGGCAGCCCAAGCGCACTATTTGTGGGTTCGGGCTTCAGAGGTCATTTGGTCGGAATATACTAGCATTATTAGTGTATTATCTGATGCCAAATAAATGCAAAAAGTCTTAAAGATATGAAGTCTTCTTGTTTGTCTATCGGTACTAGTAGCCTTTAAGATAACGAAAATCGATATTTTTTGCATTTTTACATGTGATTCGGGCCCTTATTGATCGAATTTTATCACATGTATTCGAATCTACAACGCTAAGGAAAAAAAAAATCATGATCACGCGAAATATTGATTCAAAAAGCTCCCTTACCTTTAGTTCATAGCCACTCTGTGTCCTACGGCTGGTTTAAACGCCGTTTAGTCGACTTTATTTCCATCGAGTACTGAACACTATAAAAGAAGGGACAGTACTCGATGGAAAGAAAGTCGACTAAACGGCGTTTAAACCAGCCGTAGGACACAGAGTGGCTATGAACTAAAGGTAAGGGAGCTTTTTGAATCAATATTTCGCGTGATCATGATTTTTTTTTCCTTAGCGTTGTAGATTCGAATACATGTGATAAAATTCGATCAATAAGGGCCCGAATCACATGGAAAAATGCAAAAAATATCGATTTTCGTTATCTTAAAGGCTACTAGTACCGATAGACAAACAAGAAGACTTCATATCTTTAAGACTTTTTGCATTTATTTGGCATCAGATAATACACTAATAATGCTAGTATATTCCGACCAAATGACCTCTGAAGCCCGAACCCACAAATAGTGCGCTTGGGCTGCCTGTGCCCGTTCGAACGGTTAGGCTACCCGTTCGCAATTTTCCCCGAGCCGTTCGAACGGCTAAGCTACCCGTTCGGAATACTTAATCACCCGTTCGAACACTCATTGAAACCCGTTTAAAACGGCTTGGTGACCCGTTTGTAACCCGTTCGATGGCCGTTCATTTCACCTGTTTAACGGAAAGTCGTTATAGCACGTTTTCGCATGAAAGGTCACATATTTGGATCAACAAAATGCACAATATAATGTAAAACAGGAATTTCCTGTTTTTCTCTATGCTGTTATATGCTCATTTTTCAGATTAAAAGAATTATTTCAAGTGAAAAATGGTTTAACTACAACGCTACTTTGTTTTTTTTTTTTTTAAAAATGCCAAAATTTTGGGTCGGTCGGACGACGCTAAACGAAGAAAAAAGGGGGATGGCCTTACCATAAGTCATTTAAATCTTATCTTGTCAAAGCACTCGCTATATTACTCCTTGCATGGTTTTTGTTAACAAAACATTCATTTCCAGTTGAACTAGTCTGACACTATAAGCTATGAACTAGCAACAGAAAACAGCATGCAAGCGATCTTTCAAATGTGCATGCTCGCATATTAGGGAAAGTTCATTTAATATGACAAGGGGGGGGGGGGGATGAAGATATTGAAACTCGAAGCTTGAAATTTTAGCAGCCCCCCTCGCTAGCGGTTCAATTTTTTAGGAGCCCCCTCCTTGGTAGTCGAAAAAATTTCAGAGCCCCCCCCCCCCTCCTCCTTCAATTCCTTTGCTCCCCTGAAAAAAGATCACTAGACTGTATTAAATATATTTACCATTATTGTCTTCAATGGTTTATACTATGACAAACTTGAGATACAGTTGTGATACAATTTTCTAAAGCATTTTTGGGATGAACAAGAGTGTAATAATTACTGAGACTACATTTGTTATATCTGTAAACCACGTGATATAGCTGAGTTGCACAGGTCATTAAATTGTTGAGTTGAAAACCATCCGATCTGTATGATGATGTCATGTGTTGGTTTTGAAGTATACAAATTTTCGGAGCCCCCCTCCTAGCGCAACAATTTTTTCAGAGCCCCCCCCCTTCGGGTGTCTAAAAATTTTCGGAGCCCCCCCTCAATATCTTCATCCCCCCCCCTTGTCATATTAAATGAACTTTCCCTTAGGCTGTCAAAGCTGACAGCTGTATTTCTTCAAAACAAGAGCAACACACTTACCTTCCCAAATCAAGAAAGTCCATTCTACTTACTGCAGATTTTATCGCATTTTCTCCTCCCAAAAAACCTAACTTTAAGTCTCTTCTGACACTTAAAATATAAAATGATACGATAAGAGGACGAAAATGGAAGAAAGAGAAATCACAAAATGGCTACAAAATGGCGGAATGGCGCGCATTCAAATGGCCAGCGGTTTAGCAGGAGAATCATGTACAGCACCTGAAATGATCCTATATATATTGTGCACAATCATTGAGCTTTTTCCCTTTGAAGGGTTTCAGCTGATCTCAACAACCTCGTAACGACGGGGGAATGCTGATATGAGAGACAAAACAAAAAGTTGAACCCAGGGGTAGCGTAATGCAATATTGTACCCAATTTTGACACTATGGCAGTTGCCGGTCCACAATATGTATGCACGCCAACGCTTGCCTTATTCCAGGTATTCGTTTTGTGTTTCTTCCCCCAAAATAACGGCAGAAGATTTAAGAAAGGACCCCTTTTATGAGTACCACAGAACAAGATATTATTCCTTGATTAACATTTTAAAAAATAGATGTTTGTGGCCATTCGGTTAAACCGGAGACGGTTCAGACACAGGTTCTGTTTTAGATTGTAACTTGACTGAATTCTATCGGTAATAGTGGCCGGGGTATGGATTTTGTACTGCATCGTGGGGCTGTTTTTTCTTTGTGGCTGAGCCAGCTAAAAGAGCTTTTAGCTTGTACAAACTTACTTGAAGCTTACCTCAAGCAGCTTTTGGCTTGTATACTGGGGAGGGAGGAGTGGTAGGGGGTTCAAATCTTCCTTCTCCCTTACCTTGCATTCTCGGCTCCTGCCCCTTTCCGATTGCGAAATATTACGCATTCCTCTTCCGCTTCCTCCCGCCTCCCATAACCATCCCAGGTTCCCACCCACTGGCCTGTTCCGGGAATTAAGAAAGCGCGATCACGCGTGCCTTTCTCTTACGCGTCTTCCCTACTATCTGAGAGCCTGAAACATTATGATCATTATATACATCAAAACACAGCACAAAGATCTTTTTTCCCATTACAATCTTATTCTAAGAAAACTTTAAGAAAAAAATGTCCTGAGAAGCGCTCGAAAATACAAACGAAATGTGCTCATGCCCCCTGGGCATCCTATAATACTCCTTAAATCAAGTTAATTCAATATGGCCGCCGTATCGGTAAAAAGGTCTATTACATGGCATCGCTAGGCTTAATCTAAAAGAATCTACCATACTTGTGGGGAAGAACATCTCATATAAGCCATCGGGGTTCAGTGGTTCTACACTTAAATCTTGTAAATTAAGAATTTTCACGATTGTCGTAAAATCTCTGCCAGATATATATTTAAGGGTTGTCACCTGGAAAAAATTTTATCGTCGAGTAGCAATATAATGGTCTGGCAATTGGGGTCCTTACAAACTGAAACATGCTCCTTCAATTTTTAAAAATTGAGGTAATTCATTTTCAGACTCAAAAATCAAATTCCTTGATCTTCTGTCAGTTGACGAGCTGCCTCTTTCATCATAGAGCCCTCTGTTTGTTGATATATACCAAAACTCATTGAGTGTCAAGGAATAAACGACAGCTACTGGAAAGAAGAAGTTCTGCCTCAAAAAGCTTTTGATATCTTACAAAATAGGTGTGGGGGTGGGGTGAGGGGGTGTCCCAGTATATACGAGGGTTAGTTAGTTGTACTCGTTAATCATAATTCATTTCTGTGGTTTCAAGAGTTGGAAATTCTCCTTTCAATTTACCATCGACTATTGACTCGATGGTTTATCGCCCAAGCAGCCTGGTTTCCAGGCATCATGCGCCAAAAACAAAAATGCAGGACTCTTAACTAACTCTTAGACGTGTTGAAATCTCATTTTTAGCCATTTCCATGAATAGGGCAATTGGTGGAAAAACCGGTCCGAAAAGAAGGATTGTCTCTACCTTCTGGTCACTAAAGCTTATTTAAGCGAAGACGGACAGGATTTTTATTTGACGAATGTTGCAAAAATAAGCCCACTGAGGCGCTTTCCGGGTGGCAGTAAGGTAATTGCAAAGTGCCAGCACTGAAACGTTACTTACTTTAATCTAAACAATTCGACATTACAATATCTTAAACCAGCGCACCTATTACAGATTTGAATTTGAAACATTGATCGGTTTCCCTTTGGCCCTGAAGAACTTAGAGACTGACAACAAACACAGTATTTCCTTCGAAACCCTTATAATTATGGGTTTATGGGTTTATCTGGGTTTCAATGTCAGATCTGGAAGTTTGTTCAAAAGAAGAAGACATTACGATATGCATGGCGTATTTACACTTCTTGTTGTCTACTGTATTCAAGTGCTCAAGAGCGGAATGCATATTGACTCGTCGCTGTTCGCCTTCGTCTAACCATGCATATCAATGTCTTGTAACAAAAAATAAATATGACCACGAATTAATTTTTAACCCAATTTATTGCACAATAGCAAGAGCCATAATGGGACTTGACAATATTGAATTTAGGGAAATAGCAACAAAGATGTTTTTTCAAGAAAACCAATATAAACTTGCTAGAAAACTAAACCGCAAAAAAACTCCTGGGGCGGAAACGGGATGCAGGGGGGTGGGGGGGGAGTATTCATTAAGCACAATCTGGTTAAAATAACATGAGGCGCTTATGCAGTAAATTAATTAGCAGGAATTCACACAAATCGTTTTGGTCCGTTTTGGGATGGAATTGTGATCATTGAACCTAGGCGTAGCGAAAACGTTGAATATTTTTGGTTTTTTAGCGTGATAGCCTGCGTGCAGACGATAACTAAACTCGTCTGCGCCCAGGCTATTAGCGTCATTGATCGAAAAATAGCATGTCATGTGCTTGCTTTCTGCGAAAACGCAGACAAATCGGTTGCCGTATTCCAGGTATTCCTTTTGTCTTTCTTTCCCCAAAATAAGGGCAGTAGATTTAAGAAAGGGTCCCTTTTATGAGTACCACTATGTTCATAGTATCAGCTTCACAAAATAACGCATTTTTAGCCTAATGCATTTAAGCCATTTAAGTGCCCCACTGGATTACTGTATTTTTAAACATCATTGCCTTTTAAAACAGTTCCTTTATCTCTGTTGACTGTTGTACGTTGTCTGCACCTCAAGACAAGCACACAATACAAGGCGCAGAACAAGATATAATTCCCTGATTAACATTTTAAAAAATAGATGCTTGTCGCCATTTGGTTTAGCCAGAGACGGTTCAAACACCAAATGGATCCTTTAATGCTACTTTGAAAGGAAACGTTAAACCCTCTCCCCTCACCGGCCGTCTGTTTGTGATGCAAATATAGCAAGCAGTACTCATACCGAACCGCTTAGTTCGATTCTGAAATGGCCGTCGTTAGACTACTTGTCTTTTAATTGTACACTTACTTGGGGGTCTTCTCACTGTAGACTGTTGATTTTTTTCGGAATGAAATCAGTGAAATTTCAGCTAAGGGTCAAGAGAAAAGAGAAGGACACGCCACTTCGAGTCGAAAGTGAAAGCAATGTACGGTACCGTACCGTGCTGTGACGTTTGTAGTGTTTTGCTGTTAAAATTTTTTGTCAAACATGCGCATCGACCCCTTACATACATTTTCCCTCAGCGCCCACGCAAAGGTTATCGTGTTTAATGAGTTCATTGTTTGAGATGAACACACGCCGTAGAGTCTAAAGTCAAAGCAACCTATTTTTATCATTCTGTTTTTGCTCCGAGCCAATGCTCATTTGATGACCGGCACGTATTTTTCTCCTCATAAACCCACCTCAAAGTAATATTGACAACAATCTTGGGCAGAATAGAATGGAACAACAAAGCCCACTCCACCCCATGCCGAAGGATGAAGCCGCGCAAAAGCCAAAACGCGCCATTTTCCCATCCTTGAAATTTATTGGGAGGGGGGGAGGGGGAGGGGGCGGAAAAAATTTTCAATCTCGTCTGTCTTAGAGCTGTGGTACCACAGTTTGAAACGTGCGGAAAGAGAGTCAAAACAAGGTTTCATCCACCGCTAACTGTTATGTTTTCTGCTTCATCAACGCGCCCTCTGTCGGTTTATTTAGCATCCGAATTTTTCTCCAGACCGAGTTAGCTTTCCCTTTTCAGCGCTTACTACTCTCTTTCCAGGTCTGTTCACTGTGCCCCTGATGAGAATGACAGACCCTCTGAGCAGACTAGAACTTCTTAATTAACATCAATCTATGTTCCTATCTATTTTAATGAGCTCACTAAAACTTAATAACAGTGTACGATACCTATTTGTAAATTTAGTTCTTGTATGAGTATTTATTTATAAATGAGTATGTATCACTTACTTAATGCTATACATTCTAATTAAAAAAAATATGTAACGTGTTTGTGGCTATTTTTTCCACAGCTACATGTACGTAGTTTACGCTCAATGAACTAATGTGTGGTCATTGAACTACTGGTACGGTGTGGTTATTGAATTGTTGGGTGGTAATTGAACTAACAAGAAGAAAAAAACTACGCAGGATAGTTACAATGACGGCTGTCACAAGGATTTGTACTGGAAGAACATCTCACATAAGCCATCAGGGTTCTGTGGTTCTACACATAAATCTTGTAAATTAAGAATTTTCACGATTGTCGTAAAATCTCTGCCATGGACCTTACAGGCTTTGAATTTTCTGTCACCAATTCCTGTTTGTACTCTTTTTCTACTGCTCTCAGTTGGTATCTTTTTGAAGAAATAATTGATAGAAAAATTGGGTGCAAAGCCTTGTCACCCAGATATACAAGATATTTAAGGGTTGGCATCTGGACAAAATTTATCATCGAGTAGCAATATAATGATCTGGAAATTGGGGTCCTTACAAACTGAAAAATGCTCCTTCAATTTTTAAAAATTGAGGTAATTCATTTTCAGACTCAAAAATCAAATTCCTTGATCTTCTGTCAGTTGACGAGCTGACTCTTTCATCATAGAGCCTCCTGTTTGTTGATATATACCAAAACTCATTGAGTGTCAAGGAATAAACGACAGTTACTGGGAAGAAGAAGTTCTACCTCAAAAAGCTTTTGATATCTTACAAAATAGGTGGGGGAGGGGGGGTGGGGTGGGGTGAGGGGGTGTCCCAGTATATTCGAGGGTTAGTTAAGACCCAATCTGTACTCGTTAATTATAATTCATTTCTGTGGTTTCAAGAGTTGGAAATTCGCCTTTCAATTTACCATCGACCATTGATTCGATGGTTTATTGCCAAAGCAGCCTGGTTTCCAGGCATCATGCGCCAAAAAACAAAAATGCAGGACTCTTAACTAACTCTTAGACGTGTTGCAATCTCATTTTTCATATTTCATGTCTTTCATAAAAGCGTTTCTAGGTAGTCACGTGATTAATCAAGGCAGAAAAATTTATAGCGGAAGACATGCATGTTTGACCAAAGAAAATGTTACGGACATGTTACATGCTAGCAGACGTCATCATCTTTGTTTATGAAGTACCATGCATATTTTGGCATTATATTAATGTTGACAAAGTAAGTTGAATCACTCTCAAAAACTTATTGCAAAGTGCGAAGGAATTATTACAAATTGCGACAGCTTAGTTTATTACAATGTGCGATGGACTGTTATTACAACTTGCGACACCTTTTTTATTACAAAGTGCGACACGGTTTATTACAAATTGCGACAGGTATTGCAAAGTGCGATGGATTTATTACAAATTGCGACAGGTATTACAAAGTGCGATGATTATTACAAATTGCGACAGTACACTCATTTACTAAATATAGCAGGTGTTCCTTGGTTGAGTATTTTGGGAAACTTCTCAATCTACGCTAACAAGGAAAAACAATGTGTTGTTCGAAAAGGCGAGACAAGCTTTTTAAGAATAGAATCAAAGATCTTTTAAGAGACATATAACAAGGGAGTCGACTATGGTTTAGGCGCTGATGTGAATTGCAGCAACATGATTAAAATGATGTCGACATTCGTGTTAAAAAACTGTTTCATATTCATCATCTGTACACTTCCTTAATATATTGTTACTTTTATTAATTTCCTTTGATAGTAATTGTATCAGTCGCCGTAATTTTTAGTTCATCTTCGAGAAATTGTGATTGAGGCCTAGTTAACATCATGGGCTTTATAGTTTCCTTTAGGCCTCCTCGCCATTACTTTCTACACTTTGTATTTTTTTGTTTTTGTAATCATGCAATTTATCTGTGTGGTAAAATAAATACAAAATACAAATACAAAATATACTATCCTTGAGAGCAAGCACGGTTTAGGAGTTGATTTAATTTGAAGAACGGAGTTAAGTCTTCTTTTACGTACCTTTTAAACAGGCTTTCTGTTCGTCTGTGGAGGATGGAAAGATTGGCAACGGAAATAAATGAAAGCAAGAAAGAAAGGTTAAAATTGTTTCGCATCATCCGCCAAAAACAAAAATGCAGAACTCTTAACTAAATCTTTGACGTGTTGCAATCTCATTTTTAGCCATTTCTATGAATAGAGCAATTGGTTAAAGACCGGTCCGAAAAGAAGGATTGTCTCTACCGTCTGGTCAGTAAAGCTTATTTAAGCGAAGACGGACAGGATTTTTATTTAAAATTGTAAAAATAAGCCCACTGAGGCGCTTTCCGGGTGGCAGTAAGGTAATTGCAAAGTGCCAGCATTGAAACGTTACTGACTTTAATCTAAACAATTCGACATTACAATATCTTAAACTAGTGCACCTATTACGGATTTGAATTTGAAACATTGATCCGTTTCGCTTTGGCCCTGAAGAACTTAGAGGCTGACAACAAACACAGTATTTACTTCGAAACCCTTATAATTATGGGTTTATGGGTTTATCTGGGTTTCAATGTCAGATCTGGAAGTTTGTTCAAAAGAAGAAGATATTACGATATGCATGGCGTATTTACACTTCTTGTTGTCTCTACTGTATTCAAGTTCTCAAGAGCGGAATGCATATTGACTCGTCGCTGTTCGCCTTCGTCTAACCATGCATATCAATGTCTTGTAACAAAAATAAATATGACCATGAATTGATTCTTAACCCAATTTTATGAACAATATGAGCCATAATGGGACTTGACAATATTGAATTTAGGGAAATAGCAACAAAGATGTTTTTGTAAGAAGACTTTTTTTATACTTGCTAGAAAACTTAACCGCAAAAAACTCCTAAGGCGGAAACGGGATGAAGGGGGGGGGGGGGGTTGGGGGATTTATTCATTGAGCACAATCTCGTTAAAGTAACATATGGTGCTGGTGTATTAAATTAATTAGCTGGAATTCACTCAAAACGTTTTGGGACGGAATTGTGATCTGACTGGACCTAGGCGCAGCGAAAACTTTGAATTTGTTTTTGTTTTTTTAGCGTCATAGATCGAAAAGTAGCGGAAACGTTTGGAACCATCACTGAACCATTTCGTTTTGGGGTCATGTGCTTGCTTTCCGCGAAAACGTAGACAAATCGCTTACCGTATTCCAGGTATTCCTTTTGTGTTTCTTTCCCCAAAATAACAGCTGCAGTAGATTTAAGAAAGGGCCCCTTTTATGAGTACCACTATGTTCATTATAGTATCAGCTTCACAAAATAACGCATTTTTAGCCTAATGTCTTAAAGTGCCCTACTGGATTATTTTTAAACATCACTGCCTTGTAAACTGACAGTGCCTTTATCTCTGTTGTACGTTGTCTGCACCTCAAGACAAGCACACAATACGAGGCGCAGAACAAGATATTATTCCTTGATTGAATTTTAAAAAAATAGATGTTTTTGACCGTTCGGTTTAGCCGTAGACGGTTCCAACACCAAATGGATTTTAATGCTAATGTGAAAGCAATCGTTAAACCCTCTCCCCTCACCGGTCTTCTGTTTGTAATGCAAATATAGCAAGCAGTACACATACAGAACCGTTTAGTTCGATTCTGAAATGGCCGTCGCTAAACTACTTGTCTACTAATTGTACACTTACTTGGGGGTCTTCTCACTGTAGACTGTTGATCTATTCCGGAATGAAATCAGTGAGGTTCGTCAGATTCCAGCTGAGGGAGAAAAGAGACGGACATGCCACTTCGAGTCGAAAGTGAAAGCAATCTGCGGTACTTTACCGTGCTGTGACGTTTGTAGTGTTTCGCATGTTAAAATTTTTTGTCAAACATGCGCATCGACCCCTAACATACATTTTCCCTCAGCGCCCACGCAAAGGTTATCGTGGTTAATAAGTTCATTGTTTGAGATGAACACACGCCGTAGAGTCTAAAGTCAAAGCAACCTATTTTTATCATCCTGTTTTTGCTTCGAGCCAATGCTCATTTGATGACCGGCACGTATTTTTCTCATCATAAACCCACCTCAAAGTAATGTTGACAACAATCTTGGGCAGAATAGAATGGAACAACAAAGCCCACTCCACCCCATGCCCAAGGATGAAGCCGCGCACAAGCCAAAACGCGCCATTTTCCCCAGTCCTTGAAATTTATTGGGAGGGGGGGAGGGGGAGGGGGCGGAAAGTTTTCAATCTCGTCTGTCTTAGATTGTAGCTTGGTTGAATTCTATCGGTAATAGTGGCCGAGGGACCTAAAGTCGCCTAAAGTCACCTTAAGTCGCCTAAAATCGCCTTAAGTCGCCTTAAGTCGCCTTAAGTCGCCTAAAATCGCCTAAAATCGCCTTAAGTCGCCTAAAGTCGCCTTTAGTTTCCTTAAGTCACTAAATCATTCAAATCTTAACGAGGTTCAAATTGTCTTGTAGTTATTACTTTTTTAGTTTTCCATTTCCAGAATGCATGATTTCTCATAAAGTGTATAATAACCCGTGTTAGCCACAGACCCACCCCACCCCCCACAAAAAAACTCCCACGGTGAGTAAAGACCCATTAATTTCTTCTCCAGCCCTCTAATTTATACATTTAATTACTTTGCACAATTTACTACACGTAATAATTAGTCGTAAGCAATACAAGAATAATCATTCCTGTATTGTTTATGCAAAAATGACAACATATAGTACACAACTTTATCCACTCACTTGTACAGGTATTTTATTAATTTCATCCGGGAGGTTTGTCTCATATTTTTCAGTAAAAATATTGTTTAAAAAGGTATTCAAAGGTTCAAGTTCTAGCTAAACTACATTAAACAGTGTGCAAAGAGAGTAGACAGAGTAGTGTCCAGGCAATAGCCCTGGGGTACTGGATTTTATGACTGGGCTAGTGAACTGCGTTTTTAACTTGCCTGGCTGGCAAGTAAAGTTTTTTAGGAAATTCAGATTACAGAAGAACTGTAATCAGTCCCATTCATAAAAAAAATTGGGGTTAGTCAAAATGGCTTTCAGGCTAGTGTATGCTAGGCAAGCTGTAAAGCCGACTTTCTTTGCACCCTGAACAAAATATAATTAAAACTCTCTTCTACTGCTTTGTGAGAGTCCAACATTGAAAGACATTTCAAGTAACTAAGATCAATACAGGTAGGTTGAAGGGAGAGAAAAAAATAATTATTGCCGCCACAACATTAATCTAAATTTTCTGGTAGTTAATACAAGTCTAAAGGTCAATCGAAAAAAGTGTCCATGTAAATTACCGACCCAGATTTTAAGAGCAACTAATGATAAGTTTTTTTCTCCGGCACACAACCTCTGATCTGTATTTACCGTCGAATTATATCCATCTATCATTGACAGAAACACAATCACTCTTATAAACTTGAACACTTAGCTTAGCTTGTACAGTCGTCTCTTTAGGTCTTCCCTTCCAGACAGAAATTCAAGCTTTGTACATCGAAGGTGCGTAATACTGCTCTTTGTTTATGTTGTCGTGATTGCTCCCTGCCAAACGATTTGATGTAATCGATCATTATTGATGAAGAACGTAGAAAAGCGAAATAATACTGTTCTTTCCTCCACGTTATGGCCGCCCAGAAAGTAGTGTGTATTGATCACGTGACTAACTGGTCTGGAGGCGGGGAGAGGGCGGGACCGAGAAACCATGGAAATTAGCTTGCGACTGCAGTGGAATTCTGGGAGAAGCAAAATGGCGGATAGAATGTTGTACCTCGCGTTTTCGTTTAAAGATCTCCTTTTAAATGGAAATTTCTGACATAATAATGGAAACGTTTACACTTGGTACTGCCATCGGTTTAAACATGACGCATAATGCTTCCTTTTGTGCTGAGAGCGTAAACGCTGCCGCGTGGAACAGACCGAGAGAGGTTGGTTGAAGCTAAGCTTAGTTGTTTACGTTTCTGCTGGTGAATAAATGCACTCATGAAATCAACCCGACTGGAAAGTTTCCAGAGAGACCATGGATAAGAGAGTACGGTTCACTAGCGAAGCAAGTATTTGGAAGTGTTTTGTTTGACTGAGACAGGAAAGGAGCAATATATATACGGCGAGAACTACAAACTTTTTGTTTTGAATTCAATTGGAAAAACATCCTCTTAGCCAAGCTTGTGGGGACAAACATTTACAGAGCAAGTGCCAAGACATACAGTGGCGATCGTCATTTCCATAATGTGCGATATCGATAAGTGATTTTAGATGTTTTAAATTAATTACTTAAATGTTTGTTGTCAAATTATGAAAAAAAGACACTTCGATATAAAGTTTTTGCTACAAACCAGCTCACAGTATGTTACAGAGATGTATTGAAATACTCTACTTTTATGATTTTATTTTTTGGAAAAAGAAGTGCAGGAACCATTGATTTTTTGTCCCTTATATTATGAAATAATGCATTTAAAGACCAAGAGAAAATTTACCCTTTTGGTTGCTTCTAACTCAGATTTTGTCTCTGCTAATGTAATACTAAACCAACACCCTTGATATTAGCCTGTGCCACAGATGGAACTAAACTCTGGGTTAAGTCCATCTGCAAAACAGAGGCAAAATCCTAGTTCTGGGCCCCCTGTGTGTGTATCAGGATTAGAGAACATGCCAGGACTGGACTGTTAAAAATGCCATTGTCCATTTGCCAATCATATTGAAGGGGAACTCAAAATGCTGGTAATTCATTTAGTGCATCAGGGCCCAGAACAAGGATATTAGAGCTGCTTCGCAAATGTTACTAACCACGGTTAGAATACACCTGCAACACAAGCTACCTTGATATTTAATGTTCAAAATATTAGGTAGCTGAGATTGTTGAAAATTTGGAAGACTAATGTAGATGTCTTCAAGACTGAATTAACTTATGCTACAACATTGTGTCCCTAGAGAGGTAGTGTTATCAGATTTTGATTTTGTATATGTTGTAGTTCATTTTTATTTCAGTTAATTTTTATTTTTCCATCGTTTCTGGGTATGGTTATGTATGCTAATGAATTTAAAACAAAGGGAAACCAAAAATTAACTGAAATTAAAAATTAACTGCAACATATTGACACTAACATTTAACTCACCTAATTGTCACCTTTTTCTCCTTAAGTCGCCTAAAGTCGCCTAAAGTCGCCTTAAATCGCCTTAAGTCGCGCAACATTTTGACCAAATTTTCCTAAAGTCGCCTTAAATCGCCTTAAGTCGCCTAAAATTACGGCGACTTAAGGTCCCAGAGTAGGCCTATTTTTTACTGCATGGCGGGGTTGTTTCTCTTTGTGGCTGAGCCAGCTAAAAGAGTTTTTAGGTTGTACAAAGGTACTTGAAGTTTACCTCAAGCAACTTTTGGCTTGTATACGGGGGAAGGAGGAGGGGTAGGGGGTCCAAATCTCTCGTCTCCCGTACCCTGCATTCCCGGCTACTGCCCCTTCTTTCTTGGTTTCCTTTCCGATTGCAAAATATTAGGCATTGTTGGAAAATTTCCCTCTATTTCTTTCGCTTCCTCCCGCCTCCCATAACCATCCCAGCCTCCCACCCCCTAGCCTGTTCGAGGAATTAAGAAAGCGCGATCACGCACTCATATTTTCGCGTGCCCTTCTCTTTCTCGTCTTCCCTACTTTCTGAGAGCCTGAAACAGGCTACCACCCCTTTGTCCTCCACTACAAGTATGGTAGATTCTTTTAGAGTAAGCCTATAGCGATGCCATGTAATTAGAGTACCCAGAAAAAATATCTTGCTTCCCCACACACTCAACATGCTCAATTGAAATCTATAATGCAGGGAAAGCATGTCTATAAAATGTAGCCTGCACCTCTGGCTCTTTGCGAGGTGCATCTGTTGGTCGCGTTACAGACCAGGTTGTAGACTCTATTTGTAACAACGAATATAATTGGCTTGCCGGAAAATTAGCAGGAACTGTAAAGCATAAAAAGATAAGCGAACGTGTACATTTCAGACTTATATCTAAAAAACGCAGGATCGCTACTGCAGTGACAGCCGTCAAAAGGATTTGTAGTGGAAGAACATCTCATATAAGCCATCAAGGTTCAGTGGTTCTACACATAAATCTTGTAAATTTGGAATTTTCGCGATTGTCGTAAAATCTCTGCCATGCGCCTTACAGGCTTTGAATTTTAGGTCACGAATTCCTGTTTATACTCTTTTTCTACTACTCTCAGTTAGTATCTTCTTTGAAGAAATAATTGATATAACATGGGTTGCAAAGCCTTGTCACCTCCATATACAAGGTATTTAAGGGTTGTAACCTGGACAAAATTTTATCATCGAGTAGCAATATAATGGTCTGGCAATTGGAGTCCTTACAAACTGAAACATACTCCTTCAATTTTTGAAAATTGAGGTAATTCATTCTCAAACCCAAAAATCAAATTCCTTGGTCCTCTGTCAGTTGAAGAGTTACCTCTTTCATCATAGAGCCTCCTGTTTGTTGATACATGCCAAAACTCACCGAGTGTTAGGGAATAAACGACAGCTACTGGAAAGGAGAAATTCTGCTTAAAAAAGCTTTTGTTCTCTTGCAAAATAGGTGTGGGGGGGTGGGGGTGAGGGGGTGTCCCAGTATATACGAGGGTTAGTTAAGATCCAATCTGTACTCGTTAATTACAACTCATTTCTGGGGTTTGAGCCTGAAGAACTTAGAGACTGACAACAACCACAGTATTTACTTCAAAACCCTTATAATTATGGGTTTATGGGTTTATTTGGGTTTCAATGTCAGATCTGGAAGTTTGTTCAAAAGAAGAAGACATTACTATATGCATGGCGTATTTACACTTCTTGTTGTCTACTGTATTCAAGTGCTCAAGTGCAGAATGCATATTGACTCGTCGCTGTTCGCCTTCGTCTAACCATGCATATCAATGTCTTGTAACAAAAATAAATATGACCATGAATTGATTCTTAACCCAATTTTATGAACAATATGAGCCATAATGGGACTTGACAATATTGAATTTAGGGAAATAGCAACAAAGATGTTTTTGTA